GAAAAAACTTGGGCTGATTGCTTTAATTTCCTCAGTATAATGTGGAGCAAGATGACCAGTGTGTGGGAAGGAGATGTAGGGGATGGAGTTTAAGGAGAGAAGAAAAAGTATGAAGGAGTCATGTTGGAAGAATATAGCAAACATTCTAGGAAAGTGTAGTTGTATTATTGAGCAGTACTGAATGCAAGTTTGAAAACACCTGTCAAACTTGCCAACCTAAGGACTCTATTGATAGAGTACTTCTTATTGGTGTCACACGCTTGGAATCATACTGGAAGTGTCTTGGGCATAATTTTCATTAGGACCTTTAAGAACAGAGGTGTAAATACTTGGCACACATCCCCTAGTACTGCTTTTGGTGTTCATTCCTGGTCCCTGGGGAGGCTGTTCTCCTCTGAGTCTGGTCGAGGGAGTTAGGCAGGTGTATGGGGCTGTTTGAATGGCTCAAGGTGAAACTTGTTTTCTATCCTTAGAACAATACCAGAAAATAAAACTTATTTACCATCTGATACAATGTCTCACACAACTACCATGCTCTTTACACTTGTGCTGCTTGAAAAATCAGAACTAAGGCTATTTTACTTTTTAATAATATTTATTTCCTCCCCAATATAAAAATATTTCACTCATGGAAAATTTAAAAATGAAGCTTGCTACAAAAGAAAATTATGCAGAATATTATAATACATAAATAACTGTGGTCATACCTTGATTTGTTTCTTTTGGTCATTTTTGTGCAAATATTTGGACATATTTATGCTTATATATGTTCATTTATTTTTTATTAATTTAGTGAGCTTTTCCGAACTCCTGGTAAATACCAGGCATTGTACGGGGAATAAATTAATGGGCAAGTCTGGCATATTTCTTCTGCTGGAGTTTACATCCTAGTGGATGCACACTTACATCCATAAACACACACCCCTGCCCCACAAACAATAAAATATATTTGTTCCCTGGTCTTTCTTCTAGTATTCCATCATGCGCATGTGCTCATGCTACTCTACAGCCTCTGGAAGTTTCATTTTTAATTCTGTGTGCTATTTCATCCTGTGGCTGTATCAGGATGACTATATCGTACTGTGGCTATATACCATTGTGCTATTGTCAAACATTATGATCTTCTAGTGTTTGACTATAAATGCTAGTTGAAGTGATGCACAGGTGCACACACCCGTCTCAGAGATCGAAATGCACCCTGTCAGGCAGGGCTGCTCATCATCAGCCAGGATTCCCCCAGCTCTGCTACTCATGGACACCTCAGACTGCCTGGCCCTGTCTCTCTGTCCTCACCTCCTCCCACACCAACCCCAGACACGCCGGTCACTCTCTGTCCCATTCCCCCACTTTAGGTTTTGTTATAAATGTCATTCACATTAATTCTTATTGTTAATTTATTGACCATCCCCACCTCAAGGATGTAAGCCCAGGAGGGCAAGAGCCCTGACTGTCTTGTTTGTCGTTATGTCCTGAATGTGCCTGGCTCACGGTGAGCTTTCCAGAAGTAGTTGTTGGATCAGTGAAGGACGATTCTGTTTTTAATTTTGAAGGGTCATAGCTTGTAAATGGATAATTGTAAAGACTTGTCTGAATAAAAGTCAAATAATATTATATGTAGAGTAGTCTTTGGCAATAACTGGTGCCAAATAAATGTTTTCCTTACAAAAATCCAGTATTTTAATAATTAAAGTTTTTTCCTGCATTTGTTTTTATAATAAAAGGTTCATATCCACATAATTTAGAAATTAGAGAAGGTAAAAAGGAATATATATTCCTACCTATTCTGGTCCCCACTGGAAAAATACTGCATTAAAAATGTCCCAGAAGTTTGATGTAGTTTTTCGATGGGGGCTCACATCGGGGACTAATGTCCGTGGGGCGCCTTCTCCTGGCCACCTCTGTGATGAGGGTAACTGAGGAACAGTCTGTGGCTCTGGGGGCTGGAGGGAACCTTGAACACAGTCTCATTGCAGTTCCTCAGTGAATTGCTACTGGGGAGCTGGGGCCAAGAGGGATGAAGAGATATGCACTGAGATGCCCCAAGTTCTCGCTCCTTGTTCAGTAATGTGTCCCCTCCAGCGGTCCACTTTATGTCTCCAAACCCAGAGGACAGGTTAACAGCAAACACCATGGGGGCTCTGTTTTTATGAAGAGTTGACTCCTTAGATGACGGCACCCAGGGAAGGGGGAAGGTCTGCGTTGAAGGGCAAGACCAGCGTGAAGACAGAGCACGTGGTTTTCAGGCGCTGCATCGTGTGCAGGAGAGGGAGGAGGGTCCCACAGGGACTGCTCAGGCTGTTGCTTTTGTGCACGGAGCGTGGCAGTTTGACACAATTGAGAAGAGCCTTCATCACTGTTATCAGGAGTGTCTCCTTGGCTGAGACCCTGGCAAGTCAGGGTGTTGCTTTGCTGTTCTGGCAGAGGACTGTCTTAGAAAGTAGTTTCAGTCTCCACAGCAGCACCCACTGGCTGTCCTGGGATTTGGGACCTTTTTGTCCTTGCTCCTTCTGCTTGGTGCACCTGGCTTTCTCAGGTCTCTCTTTACTTCTCTTATTTTAAATTAACTAATTAATTAACTTTTAAATAGTTAAGTTCAAACACATGCACAAGTAAAAAGTATGGTAGAATAAATCCCATCTATCTAGATTCCACAATTATTGGCTTACTCTTTTATTTTCTTAGCAAATATTCTCCCTTTAAAGAAGTGTATACTTTTAAACAAAAAGACCAAGTAGACTATCTCTTTGGTACAGGAAGCCAGGAGGGGCTCATTGTGCCCCAGCTGGAGAAGACAGGATCAGAGCCCGTGTGCCCAGTGAGGCTGGGCTGTACATGCCAGCATTATGGAGGTGCGGTATCCTTAGTGTTTCAGAGCAGTGGTTCTTAGTATGCGATTCTGGGAATAGAAGCATCAGCACCTGTTAAACATACAATTTAGGGGACCCCATCCCAGGCCTACAAGACCAGAGACTCTAGGTGGGGCCCAGGGATCTGTGTTTTAAGAGCTGCCCAGGTGATTCATGCATGCAGCATTTGAGACCCACTACTGTAGAGCCTGCTCTCTGGAGTCCAGCTGCCTACATTCTATCTCTGCTCCAGCACTGACAAGCTGTGTGAGCTTAGGCAAGTTCCTTTACTTCTCTGGACTTTGATTTCCTCTGTAAAATGGAGATAATGCAGGCACCTGCCTGATGGAACTACTATGCAGATGAATAAATTCCTTCATGAAGATATTTAGAATAGTGACTCATAAAAAACACTAGTTAACTGTTAGCTGTTTTTATTATTAGTATTAATATCACCAAATGCTATTAGTTAGCATTAATACTGACAATGAAATAATTTTTGAGGATCATTATTATCATAATCACTATAATAAATGCAGACTTCCTGCTTGGAGAAAAAATTTTTTTTCAAGAAATTCAAAGTGATTCACTTGGGTTCAATATTAAATGTTATGTTAATGCTGTAGATACATTTGAAACTTTAGAGAATGGTATTTCTTTGAACAAGTTTAAAAGATAAAATGATTCTCAGCTTTCCCATCTCCTTTTTAAAAAATGGTATTTGGGGTTTGAGCAATTTGTCAGATATCTAGGAGTCAGTGAATGAGTAGGGAGGGTTCTTATTTCCCTCCTTCCTTGTGTTCCTTCTTTTTCTGTAATTTCTGATGTAAAGTGGGAATTTTTGGTTATACTCACATGGGAAACCTCAGTATGTCTCTGACCGAGTGTGGGGGCATGCGTTTCATTCCTGTCTTGGTCCCTGAAGAATTGCAATGGTTTCCCTGTTGAATCCCCTTCTCTCCTTGGGGCTACTTCCAGCTGACAGTGAAGGAGGAGCAGGGCAGGGAGGGAGGGGCCTCAGCTGTGGAGGCCCTTGGGGTGGAGCCCCTTTGCTCTCAGTACCCGTGTGGGTTCCCTGCCCCCACTCTGCAATCCTACCCCTGTTATGGTTCACATGGGGCTTCTCAGATGTTTCTCATCAGTTACTGTTTGGAAGAAGATATCTCATTGTTGCGGACAGATCCCCCATCTTCCTCTTTCTTTGAAATATAATGAGTTTCAAAAGAGAAATTAAATACCTGAGAAGGAGACTGTGAGGATGGCAGAGTGTTTAAACCATTGCAGATTGGAGTTAAATAATAAGTAGAACAGATTTTGGGTTATTTCTATAAAGCAAAAACAGAGGCAGAAAAAATTATATATATATATATTTACTATCTGCCCCATGATATGAAAACCTTTACTGGGTGAATGAGAAATATAGACAAGTTATTATCCAGAAGTTCAGCTCCTTTAATATATTTCCATTCCTCCCTGTTTTGCGTGCAGAAGCCAAGTGCAAAGCACTTAAAAAGAAATTAATTCTAAGCAAGGCTGCTCCTTTAGCTTCCTAATTATTTTGTTTTTTTTTGTTTTAAATTCACACAGTAAGTAGCCAGTACTTGTGATACACATGTTGGAAAAAGTGACATTTTACAAGCATCATTGTCTTGTGCTGGAAGATTCTTAGTAACCTAGAAAGATTATTTGGGTGTCTAATGAAGCTTCTGAGCACTGTGCGTAGGCAGCTATTACTCAGAGTATTGGCTGAACAGGTGAACTTGCTGTATAAATTTGTGTAATTGCTTAACTGAGCAAATAGCTTTGTGTCATTTGTAGATAACAATTTTGCTTAAAAGGCAAACATTTTCCCCATTTTTTCCTACTTAACCACCACAACCTGTTCTGTTTCTGGATTTTTGCTGTTCCTGTGCTTTTGCTTTTCCAAGAGATGGAAATATGGGCCCTTTCAAAAGAAGGCAACTGATCCCCATTGTGACGTTAACAGATAGCACTGGAAGGTGGAGTCAGTCATTGGAAATGTTTGCTTGGCATGTAGTACACACAATCTTGTGCTTTTCACCTCCGTGTCATCATTTCTCCATGAAACATAAACTTTTATCTGTTGTGGTTTCCTCTGTGAACACTCTTGCCTTTGTTTTTGTCCTCTGTGAGGCTCAAAATGCCCAGCAGCTCCATGAGCGAATCCAGTCATCAAGTATGGACGCCAAGCTGGAAGCCCTGAAGGACTTGGCCAGCCTCTCCCGGGATGTCACGTTTGCCCAGGAGTTTATAAATCTGGACGGCATCTCTCTCCTCACGCAGATGGTGGAAAGTGGCACTGAGTAAGCATCTTTTCTCTAAGATTCCAATCTGTCTCCCTCTCTCCAGCATTTGGGTATTTTCTACTTTCCTTATACTTGTAATTTCTAGTTTGAAAGACCAGAAACTAAGTGGGCTCAGGAAAAAGTGGCTTACAAGATAGTGCCTGGAAGGTGGGATTGTAATTCACTTATCACTGTTACCTTCCACTCATCAAGTAGCCAGTATCTAAGACAGGCTAGAATTCCATAAAATACTTGAAATTTCAGATTTATGAGAAAAAATAATAAGTCATTATCTTTAAGGGCCTTTCCAACACTAAAATTACAGTTCTATGTAATATAAATCCCTCACATCCCTCGCCTATCCCCAGGAAAAATGTCCCTTCCCTGACACCATTAAAAAAGATCAGAATACCTCCTTATGTTTCAAAGTCTTATACCAGGTCAAAATAGCATTGCTGAAGTAATTTTTAAAAAGTTTATATTGAGTGATGAAATACATGTCCTTAATTATTTAAAACTAAATACAATAAACATTTATTAAGTACTTACTGTGTGCAAAACAGTAGAAGTTGGGGAAATTTAAAAAGATGTGAGTCTTGCCATCCAAAAATTTATGGAGGCAGAATTCAGTTGAGGTATAGTTCCTCCTAGGGGCTAGAGGTTGGACCAGTTATTTCTCATGGAACCTTATGGAATGAATGGTCCTTGAAAGGAGTCTGAGTTCCCATCACCAGAAAGGAAGGGATGGGCATTTCTGACTGGGGAGCTGAACTTCTCAGGGAAGGCTTTGATTCTCTGGTGTGATTGGGTGTGTCTGGAGCCAAGTAAGTCTAGTTCTCACAGGTGGACAGGTATCTGCCCTGGCTACCAATGGCCAGAGTAGGCAGCTGCTCATCCTGTGTGGTCAGGCGCTACTGGCATAGACTATTGGAGCATGTGAAAAGTCTGAGTCAGCTAATGACTTATTAATATGCTAAGTTTATAATGTGCAGTGTTGGGATGGATATCAGGAAAAGTAAATGTCATTGAGCACTGGGGTTTAACCTTGGTCTTTTAACTCTCTCTTCAACCTGGTGATTCAAAGACTGAACAGATGATCGTACATGTGGGAGACCTGCCTTAGCCCACTCCCTTCCTTCCTTCCTTTCTTCCTTCCTATCTCCTCCTACGTTTGGCATTATTTAGCCTCTGCAACTGGCACAAGTGACAGGTTTTTTTTTTTTCTCATTCAAAGGGCGAATGTTTTGTAATGTCAGGAATATTTCCCATACAAGAATGTTTGCTAGAGTGTGGAGCTGGGGGTCTCTTACCTCAGAGACAAATAGAGAAAATACCTAGGAGTGAATAGGAGGAAAAAAAAAATCCAAAAGAGGACTGGCAGGCAGGTTTGGGTGATCTGAAAAGGGTCAGTTGTGGACAAGAATCATTTGTTTTTCTAACGGGGCCTATAAGTCTGCTCATTAAAGTTTTGTCAAACATCAACTTGGAGTGGGGCAGGAAAACTCAAATTTTGTGTATCTTTGGAATCCAGTGTGGTTACTGTAAGTTGTAGTTGGAGCATGAAACAGCTAGAGGGAAGTTGGATAAGTTTATGAATCCAAGAGGTTTGACCAAACAGAGGAGAAAGAGGGTTCTGTGTCGGGAGCTCCAGGCTGAAATCGATTGTGGAAGGTGCCACATCCCTCATTCCTTGTTACTAGTGAGCGGTGGAGTTTGAGTTGTGATTACAAACACCTTCACTGGAAGACTTCATGTGGTTGTCACACGTGGTAGGCTCTGCTTCACACTCACCACTGCTTCTGGCAGGATGGTGAGCCCTCAGTGACATTTCCAGCATGTTCATTTTACATAAAAATGTAAAAATGTTTCCATGGTTATTGATTTTTCTAAGTCCCAGCCCTTGATGAATCAAAAGCAATTTACTAGAGCTAGTCATAACGTAACCTGCTAATGTTAGTTAACATTAACGCAGATATCCAGGACCTTAAGCTCTCAAATATTCATAATGACATTGTGTTAATGCTACACATTTACTGGCACTGCAATCATAATTACCATGACAGTGGCAACTACACTGGAGGCAAGGGTCGGTGTGATATGCACCCAGAAGAGAAGGCTGGGGCAGAGCTTCAAGACCTTCAGAGGCTGGCAGCTATATATCTTGACAATGAGGAAAAAATGCATTCTAGGAGCTTCAGTTTTTAAGTATCTCGTTATAGTTCACTAGGGCTGTCTTAACAAAATATCACAGACCGAGTGGCTTAAACAACTGATTTATCGCCTCAGTATTTTGGAGGCTGTAAGTCTGAGATAAGGGTGTCGGCAGGGTTGGTTCCTCCGCGGTCTCTCTCCTCGGTCTGCAGACGCCGCCTTCTCGGCGTGTTCTCCCTTGGACTCTCCTCGTCCCTGGTGTGAGTGCTTCCCTGGTGCCTCTCTGTGCGTCTGCATTTCCTCTTCCTGTAAGGACGATAGTCATGTGGGATTAGGGCACACCCTAAGGGCCTCATTTCAACCTAATCACCTCTTTAAAGGCTCTATCTCCAAATACTGTCACGTTCTGAGGTGGTGAGGGTCAGGGATTCGTGAACTTGAGGGCCTGCAGGTCAGCCCATTGCATTCATCAAAGGGACACTACTACTTTAGCTTGAAAAAAAAGAGTAAAAATGGACACTTTGTATTTGTCTTGTCCACATTATTACTTTTTATCTTTGCCATCGCCTCACTCTGTCACTCATCTTGAGCTGAAAAGTGGCCTAAAAGAATCAGTGACTCTCACACTTGGGGATTGGGGAGAGCAGGTGTGAATTATATCCCCATGTTGCACATGTACAACATGAGAGAATGTCAATGCTGAATGTTCTTTATATGAACCACAGTAATTGAATTCCTTTTTTTAAAAAATAGCATCATATGCATTAATATTTTAACTATTTTTAACCCTTAAACCATCCTAATTTCTTACCTGCAGCCAGGTTTCAGACTGAAAAGCAGAACTCAAGGCCAGACCTTGGGTGAATTCTGGTTTGCATTTGTCTCTTACACTTTCCCATCACATTCTGTTACTGAGAAGGAATGATGTCTCTCTGGGTCACCTTTGGTGCCCCCATCTCCATTTTACATAAATTCAAAGTCATGTTGCTTTTGGAGATGGAGAAAGGAACTGCTCAGCCTCCTGCCTTTCTTCTGCTGGGTCCTGCAACTCATCCTTAAGATGCTACTCGTTTGATGCACAGCTATTTTTCAGGTCTTTTGATCAGGTAAAAAGAAACGAGAAAGTCATTTTTCTTGCAAGAAAACCTGGCTTCTCAATTAAACTTATAGCAAAACTTTAATTAATTAACAGGAAACCTTTGGAATAGAAACCCTGCAAATTAAATAGATCCTACAATTTGGAAGGTATTTTGCCATGACTCCTGGGCAGATTTCCAGCTGGGGAAGGCAGAAGTTTCCTAAGCAGGACCCCGTGGAAATTTTTAGGAAACAATGAAGCAGGAATGTAGCTGGAATTTTTCTCCTTAGTTTGAGCTATAATGAGATTCAAAAATTACTCACCTGCTTGTCATTACCCCAGGCTGAGCTTTAAAGGCCTCTCTCCAGCTGGTACCAGGAGGGTCCATGGGGCAAAATCAGCAACAAAGGGACAGTGTAGGGTATCACTTCGGCAGAGCAGTGTTTAAGACCTGAATTTAATTATTTCATCCTTGTGAAATTTTGAGTTTCCATTCCTAGTTTTAGCTTGAAACATAGGTGTGGAAGCAAATAAGGTTGTGGGGAAACGTGTTACCCCAACCTGAGCAAAACAATGGTGTCGAGTAAGGAACTTTAAAGAATGGGCAGTGTTGTTTTTTTAAAAAAAGATGGGTATTAAAAGATTTCACAAGGGGTTAATATACAAAATATGTAAAGAACTTGTACAACTCAATAACACAAACCACAAACAATCTGATTAAGAAATTGGCAGAAGGTATAAATAGACATTGTCCCAAAGAAGGGATACAGATAGCCAACAGGCACATGAAAAGATGCTCCATATCACTAATCATCTGGGAAACCCAAACCACAATGGGAAAGCACAACAGCTAGTATCAAAAAGATAAGAAATAACAAGTGTTTGCAAGGATTAGGAGAAGAGGGAACCCTCATGCAGTGTTGGTGGGAATGTACCTGGTGTAGCCACTAAAGAAGACAGTATGGAAATTCCTCAAAAAATTAAAAATAAAAATACCACACAACCCAGCAATTCCATTTCTGGGTTATCTATCTGGAGAAAACAAGAACACTTATTCAAAAAGATACGTTTGTTGCAGCTTTATCTATAGTAGCTAAGTTACGGAAACAACCTAAGTGTCCATCAGTGGATAATGGATAAAGGAGATGTGGTATGTATACACAATGGAATACTACTTAACCATAAGGAAGAAGGAAATCTTACAGTTTACAACAACATGGAGGGACCTTGAGGGTATTATTCTAAGTGAAATAAGTCAGACAGAGAAAGACAAATACCACATGATTTCACTTTGTGTAGAATCCAAAATTCAAAACAAACAAACAAAACAAAATCTAGACTCATGGATACAGAGAGCAGATTGGTAGTTGCTAGAGGGGAGGGGTGAAATGGAATGAGGGGATTGGTAAGTACAGCCTCCCAGGTATTAAATAAATTAGTCATACAGCCTGGGGAATATAGTCAATAATATTGTATTAACTTTGTATGGTGGCATATGGTAACTAGACTTAATAATGATTATCATTTCACAATGTATGCACATGTTGAATCACTATATTGTACAACTGAAACTAATATAATATGGTAGTTCACATGTATTCCAACTAAAGAAGAAGATGTCTCAGAAGTGATATATTTATTTTATTTTAAAGAAAAAAGTCATACCTGCAACTCTAAATCCAACGTAGTGAATAATACTGCTTTTCTTCGGGTTTTAATAAAACACTATGTTCTTTGTCTCTGCCTCTGTGCACACAGTCAATTGGATAGTTTACTCTGTGTCCTTCTA